TTCCAAAAGCAGTTGAGCAAGAAACTTTACACTCATTGCTCATTACTGGTACAGTTTAGGGAAAAAGAAAGTAGAAATTATAAACCAATTACCTCAGGTCTCAACACTAACTTTTTCAGCAGATGGTATGCAGGACCACTGGATCTAAAATTTGATATTTTGATACTATTTTGATACTTTAATTGGTATAGAACAATGTTGAAATAATTGTTTTATCGTTAAATGCACAATAATTGATTGGGTCAAGTGTATTTGCAAGTGAAAAATAAGGTTAAATCAACGTATGTTATTCTGGTTAGGTTTCGTAACGGGTCTAATCCAAAACTTTAATGCCGCATCAGATGAAAACAAAAATGTTAAATAGCGGCTTATAAAGTTTTGGAAGCCAGAACTACACTTAAAATTGGTAACAGAGACATATTTATTATTAGATTTATAACAACTGAAGAAAACATGTATTTTTTTTCTATTTCAATCTAATCAGATAGTAAGTCATTGTTTTCCTATTTAGTATTTATTATTGCATTGAAAAATACATGACAGTACTCGTACTTCGGTTAAGTGACTTCTTCCGCAATTCAAGTTAGGGAATAGTGAAACCAATTGTGAATAACTTATTTCCTTACTGTTATTCAAATACTCATTTCTGTTTCCTGGTACATCTTATAAGAATAATAATTGCTTTTTATAGATAAACATTTTTAATTAAACTATTAAGTTATTATATTCTTGTCTTTGAAACAATGAAATATTAATGATAAACAGAAAAATTCCTACATTATGATTGAGCTTCCCTATCTTCCTCACAGATTTATTCTTGTTTGTTGAAATTTATGTATTTTTGACAAAGTATTTATAACCTTTTTAAGTACTTTAAATAAGAAACTAGAGATGTGTACATAGTATACAGGTGCTCCCACCGCGCCACTGTTATGTCAATCTTATGACTCTAGGTCAAATATTTTTTTGAAAACTAAAAATCTTTTACTAAGTAAAGGGCAAGAACTTTACAAGAATACTGAATAAATCCACAAGCAAACCCCAAGGTGCATAAGTACACATGCTGACCTGAACATTCTTGTAAACTTTCAGGCCTGCAAGTGAAATACTTGTTAGCTCTGCATGAACAAGTTGAAACTACTGAAAGTCAAGGGCAATAACTCTTAACAAAACTTCACAGTGATGTGAATCATTATTCCTGTAATTTAGTGATATTGATCATTATTCCTGTAAAGTTGGTTGATTCTAACTTAAGCACTCAAGAAACAAATAACAACACAATGAAACGGTTTTTACTAAGTCAAGGGAAATAACTCTACAAATACTGGGTAAATCCACAAGCAAAACCCCAGGTGAAAAACTAAATATGCTGTTTGAGCAACCTTCGTGTAAGGTTAAATGACTCAATGTCAAATCCTTTTTGAGTTACATGCGACACAAGTTGAAAATTGCAAAATTTTACTAAGTTAAGGGCAATAACTCTAAAAATATTCAGACGAAAACACCCAGGTGCACAACTACACATGCTCAGAGATCTGCCGAGGACGCGATTTTGCGCCATTGGCGCTAAAAAAAATGAGAATGGCGCAGGAAAATCGGCAGCAAAGGGCCATTGGCGCATCTAAAATCTGTGCCAGACTTATAAGAAAACAAAACTGTCTGCTGGGTTATTTAGTCATCCAGTCAAAACTGGTACCAACAGCAACATGTTACCCATGCTCCTGTAATTACGCATATTCTTTAGTTTATCCATTCCCCTATAGCTTTTGTCCATGTTATCTACTTACCGCATTTCTTCTCATAATCCCTTTCCCACACAGATACTCATTTCAAACTCTTGGCAGATCTCTGCATGCTGATCAACATTCCAGTAAAGTTACATGACTCTATGTCAAATACTTTTTGAGTTACATGCGACACAAGTTGAAAATTGCAAAATTTTACTAAGTCAAGGGCAATAACTCTAAAAATACTAAAAATATCCAGACGAAAATACCCAGGTGCACAACTACACATGCTGATCAACATTCCTGTTAAGTTTTAAAGTGGGGGCACAAAAATGGATCTCTGATTGTTGTGTCTACCAAGTTTGTTCAAATAAATGTAGATAAGGTTAAAATAAGCCAGGTTAAATACTGTAGTTACTTCCCTTAAAGGCCAAACCAAATCTTTTGTGGTGTTATGTGTTCATGTTTGTCTTTGTTCCTTTTGTTATGGGTGATTTAACTGGTTTTGCAAGTTGAGTGATGGATGATTGGTTTTGGTTAATTTTAGATGATTTGGTTCTGGGATAGCTAATATTTTCTTGGTAACTGACCACTCCTTGTCTCGCTTTCAAAGTGTAAAGAACTATACAATTATTTAACTTTCAGTAATTAAAAAATTCTTAATAGAAATACTTGATTCTTATTTCTATTATTTCATTAGATTTCTTCTATTACAAGCCTGGTATGTTAAATAGTGTATGTATGTTATTTATTTATTTGTGAAATTGTTTTTATTGTAATTTGAATTGTTGTATTATATTGTGTATTATGTATTTTGTAAAATGTATTTGTCTTGTATTATATTTGTTTGTAATGTGATGTCTCATACTTATTTTATTTGTTACAAGTTTTATTCTTTATTGACTAAACATATAATAAACATATCAAAGTGTTTATTGTTGGAAACCCCACCACTACATAAAAGCCCCTGGTTTAAAATTGGCCTTGGCCCAGGGGCCTATATATTGGCGAGCGTTTTTAGGGCCATCATGACCCTCTTGTTTTAACCTTGCCCAGATATTTACGATCAAGATGTGGTCTCAAGATTGCGGCTAAATGGCAGTCACAGTGTTAGAAATTAGGATTTGAATCCACTAGGCTGGTCGGACTACCAGATTGAAATATTCACTAGCCCAAAAGACATTTCACTAGCACAATTCATTGGTTCAAAACAGTTGTTTATATTGCGTCTGAAAATACAGTAGCCTGGTCTGGCTTGTTACTTTGAACACTTGGTAGCCCGAGGACAAATTTAGTAGTCAGGGGCTATAGGACTACTGCTAATTTCGAACACTGCAGTCATACAACAGAATCTAATTTGGGACTAATTTTTAGCTCGACTATTCGATAAGAATAAGTTGAGCTATTGTAGTCACCGAGCGTCGGCATAACCACTTATGTAAAAGTTTTTGTAATACCTCAAACATTTTCAAAGCCCATTAACATATGGCTTTGAAACTTTGCACACTTATTCACCATCATGACCCCAACCTGTAGACAAGAGGAGGTAACTCTATCAAGCATTTTGACAGAATTATGTCCCTTTTTCGACTTAGAATTTATGTTACAGTTTTTGTAATACCTCAAATATTTTCAAAGTCCATTGACATATGGCTTTGAAACATGTTGCAATTTTATACTCTTCTTTGAGAGCATTCTAGGACTCTCTCCAATGTCCATAACTGTAATATAGATTAAAATAAAAAATTTGCCTTTTTCTTTACTGAGAAAATTTTACCTTTTAAACAAGGCGTTTTTTACTATAGATCAAGCACTAAGAATAGTCGAGCATTGCTGTACTACTGACATCTCTTGTTTGAGTTTACAACCCCCTTTTCTTGAACAAACCCAAAATGTTCCTTAATGCTTTGAATGTTTGGCTTTCTTTTTATCCCAACAATTTTATGTTTTACATCAATTTTTAAGTGTTGCTAAGATATGGGCATAGACTAAAATGTAGACATTTCTGAATGATGAATCTCGGATCAAAAGACAGTTCAAAGTATAATGATAATTGATTTAGATGTATCAGATTTTTATTTTACAAACTAATTTTCAAAATTGGATTGTTTCGTATATATAATTATTTCATTTTTAGCTCAACTTTTTTTTTTTGATAAAAAAGTAGAGGTATTGCTATAGTCACGGCGGCGTTGCCGTTCCCGTCCGCAAACATGTACCTGGATCATAACTTTTTTATTTCTTGATGTATTGTCTTCATACTTGGCTACAACAACCCTTGGGACAAGACCTTTCAGTAGCCCACACTAACCTTGACCTTCATCGATAAATAACCTTGACCTTCAAGGTTAAAAGTCCAAATTTTGCTTGTTCATGCTGTTATTGGATGTAACTTTGTTATTTTTGAAAAGATTGTCTTCAAACTTGATCATAATAATCTTCAAGGATATCCCTTAAAAATAACCAGACAGACCTTGACCTTCACTCATAAATGACCTTGACTTGGAAGGTCAAATTATTGAAATTTTCATTTTTTTTGGCTATTATTGGCTGTTTTACTTTGTTATTTTTGAATGGATTGTCTTCAAACTTGAACATAAAAATGTTCAAGGATAACCTTCAAAAATAAACAGAGAGACCTTGACCTTCACTCATTTAAATGACCTTGACTTTGAAGTTCAACTTATTGAATTTTTCATTGTTTTGACTGTAACTGGCTGTAACTTTGCTATTATTGAAGGGATCAACTTCATATTATAACAGAACATACTTAAGGACAAGACCTTGTTGTTTATCAAACACTTGGGCTTTTTAATGGCCTTGAAGGTTAAATTACGGAATTTCTTAGATTAGTGCATCAACAACAACAACAACACGTGACTCCACCACCATGTGACACCACTATGTGACACCACATGACTCCACCACGTGACTCCACCACGTGACTCCACCATGTGACTCCACCACGTGACTTCACCATGTGACTACCACGTGACTCCACCACGTGACTAGAAATTGTTGAATTGATTTTAGCCGCTCAATGTGGCCCAAATAATATCTACTTCTGTATATGACCATTTCTAACAACAAATCTCAGGGCCAACATGGCCATCTAGAGATTGTAACAATGCCTTCATTATAAGTCAAAGTTCATGGTCCCTTAACTGGCACAGCTTTCAGGGCATACAAGTGTTTGTGATCAGTCATAGTTAATGTTGGTTTTCCTTTGGATTCTTACAAATTGTAGCTAAAAATATTTTTTGTTTGTTTTAGAAATCAAGATGGCACATGAGATACATTTAAAGAACAACAAATACCGGCAGTGGGTTAAGGCTGGCCTAGGCTTGGGTTATCTTAAAGAGGGACTTGCGCCATTTTGTGATGACATTGGAAGACAGCAGCACAAAGATATTATAAACCAAATACAACAAACAAAGACTCCTCAACCAAACATACCATGTGGCGCCTGTCAGATAACAACTCTCCAGCCAGATCATGTCCGAGTCTCAAAAGGGATATGTCCCCTCAAACAAGATAAATGTAACTGTTGTTTTCCTAATAATAAGAGACCCTGTTCAAACAATGTATGTGGTGCCATCTATGACAGCATTATACAGTATCATGCATCAATGCCACCAGTACCTTTTTGGAAAAACAGTGATGTCCAACAGTGGTCAACAGAACCGTGGGAGGTTTGCAAATGTTTTATAAATGCTCCTGGGTACAAGGACAAGACATCAGCAGTCGACACTGATTGCACTGGGTTGCTTCATGTTATCATAAATAACAAGTACTTTCATAGTCATATTGGAGGCAATGTTACAGGACCAAACAATCTTTTTTCAAAGGTAACTAGATTTGTTTACTATAATTATTATGTTTATTTTAAATTTTGTAGAATATTAGGCTTTACTGTAAGATTAAAATATTGTCTGTTAATTGCGTATAAAAGTAAAAGAGATAATTGTTACCTAAGTGTAGTTATTATGCCCCCACTTCATAGAAGAGGGGGTATATTGCTTTGCATTTGTCGGTCCGTCAGTTCGTAGACCAAATGGTTTCCGAGTGATAACTAAAGAACCCTTAGGCCTAGGAACTTCACACTTGGTATGGTGATTGGTCATGACGAGTAGATGACCTCTGTTGATTTTGAGGTCAAGGGGTCAAAGGTTATGGTCACATTGACCTTGTAGGTAAAAACGGTTTCCGATCAATAACTAAAGCACGCTTAAGCCTAGGAACTTCAAACTTGGTTTGGTGATTGGTCATGACCAGCAGATGACCCCAATTGATTTTGGGGTCAAGGGGTCAAAGGTCAAGGTCAATTTGACCTTGTAGGTTAAAACGGTTTCTGATCAAAAACTAAAGAACGCTTAAGCCTAGGAACTTCAAACTTGGTATGGTGATTGGTCATGACCAGCAGATGACCCCTATTGATTTTGGGATCAAGGGGTCAAAGGTATAGGTCACATTGACCTTGTAGGTAAAAACGGTTTCCGATCAATAACTAAAGAAGCATAGGCCTAGGAACTTCAAAATTGGTATGGTGATTGGTCATGACCAGCAGATGACCCCTATTGATTTTGGGTCAAGGGGTAAAAGGTCACATTGACCTTGTAGGTAAAAACGGTTTCCGATCAATAACTAAAGAACGCTTAGGCCTAGGAACTTCAAACTTGGTATGGTGATTGGTCATTTTCAGCAAATGACCCCTTTTGATTTTGGGGTCAAAGGTCAAGGTCACATTGACCTTGTAGGTGAAAACGGTTTCCAATTAATAACTTAAGAACACTTAGGCCTAGAAACTTCAAACTTGGTATGATGATTGGTCATGACCAGCAGATGACCCCTATTGATTTTGGGGTCAAAGGTCAAGATCACATTGACTTTGTAGGTAAAAACGGTTTCCGATCAATAACTAAAGAACGCTTAGGCCTAGGAACTTCAAACTTGGTATGGTGATTGGTCATGACCAGTAGGTGACCCCTATTGATTTTGGGATCAAGGGGTCAATGTCATTTTGACCTTGTACTTTATGACGGTTTCTGACCAATAACTCAACAACTCAAGTTGATATTTTTATATTAAACTAAAAATGCTTTTGGTATACACATTTGAAGGTCTTATGTAACAACTTGGCTGTCATTAATGAGGCCTGCATGATTCACAAAATTTATGCATATATTATTTGTTAAGATTTGTAATAACTTAAATTGCTGCACACAACCTATGGGGTCACAATGATTATTATTACCTTGTTACCTTGTGACTAGTCATAAACAGTAGATACTAGATAACCCTTATTAATTGTTTCTTCACTCTGGGTCAGAAGTCATGCATAATAACCTGATCACATGACTAATTGGCTGCCGATAGGGGGCATACATGTTTTACAAACTTCTTTGTTGGTTATAAACTCTATTATATAACTTTATAGGAGTTTACCCATTACTGCACTAAGGTGACTATGAGGTTAATGCAGTTATTTTGTCAGAGAAATAGTTTGCCACATTATGAATAATGATTCAAAAATTGTTATGCATAAATTGTATTCACAAATATTTTTTGTTTGCAATACAATTTTTTGGCTAGCTGTAATTTTTATGGGTGGGAAACAAAAAATATTTTGTATTTTAAGCTTTACTGTAAAATGAACAGAAGTAATTATTTGTGCTTTATAAGCAAATGCGACAAGTACCGTAATAATTCTATTTAGCGCCCAGGCTTTTATTAGAATCATAGACTTTTCGAAAGTTGGGGATGGGCGTTAATTGGAGACGCATCTTCATAAGAGTGTTAGACAAACTAATTTTCTAAGCAAGGCTTTATAAATCCACTCGCCCCTCATAACTATAAGAAGAAATCGAATCCGAAGATAGAGCGGATGTTGATTTATAATTGCAGACAACGCTAAAGTCGATTTCGGTATCGTAACGTACCGGCTTAAGTCTGTTCTTTTCCGCACTTTAATACCGTGCATGTAGAGTCCGGTATCCGAGCACGGGAATAAAAAATGAGCCTCACGCATTTTTACTGCAAAAATATTATGATTTTTCCCAACGAAATATTTATGTAAGGTTACCAATTAACTCTGTAATCTGGGATGTTCTATACAATTCAAAAAGTCAATGGAATATTTCGAGTCCGATCATTATGCATTTTTTACCCGCCAATATAATTGTTAAATAAAAGTAAGAATAGTTCTGACGGATTTTACTGACACAAGCATATATGTTCTTAAAGGGATTGATGCGGGATTTTGATATAAAAAGATAATCGTCTATTGTTCAAAATAATTTTAATCAGAACTAATCTCCCATGTTGGGCCCCAATACATTGAACCACGCACGTTGACCTTGCTGACGTAATGAAATAGGCGCGTGAGTTTTGGCATCTCGGAATGGTAATTTCTTATACATGTATATATATCTTATACACATAACACATTGAATTATGGCAACACCTATGCTTGTGTCTATAAAATCTGTTATTAAGGGATATCACGTTTACAAATATACATGCCCAGTCGGAACTATACTTCAGTGTAATTTGGAACCAGAAAATGAGCATAGTGATAGCGCAATTATCGTAAAAAATAATGGATCTCTTGTTGGACATATACCGGAGGGATTATGTCAGCCTCTTACAAAATTATTCAAAGATGGACTTATTGTAGAAATCAGTGCCCAAATACTTGGAGAACCGCGTTCGTCATAAAAAGGAACTTTTGTAAAAGGTGGTGGCATTTAAATACCGTGTACATATAAACTTTACGGAAAAAAAGACAAGAAAAGGGAAGTTCGTTGCTACGTGAAAACGGAAATAAGGAAACTTGAATTGTAAAGGTAAGCTCAATTGTACTCAAATCGGGGGATGGGCGTTTAAAAGGGGCAGTTAATTTTTCAACTTTGGGCTGAAAAGTGGCCGTTTTTTGGGGTGGGCGTCTATTAGAGGATGGGCGCTAAATAGAATTATTACGGTAAATACTGTTACTTCAGTAAAGTAATAATAAGATTTATCAAAACACATTTCCACTCCCTTTGCTTTTATATAATCTGCAGTTTAAACACAATAATACTAATGATTATTATGGTAAGTACTTTAAAGTAACTCCTTTATTACAGTTTTAATTCTCAACTTAAGAATTGTGTTTAGTCTCATTGCTGAACACTGTATTTATGTGAATGTTGTATTATTTGTTTTCTTTATATTAGGTACGGCAGTACCGAAACGAAATTTTTCACTCGAGCAATATGGAGTTAGAGGAGAGCAAAGCTAATTGTTATATTGATGACATGATAGCTGTTCTACAAGATGGTAAAGAACTTATACATCAACAAGATGCACAACAAGCTGTCGGGAAACTCCAAGATGTAAGTGTACATAATAAATTATAAGTTTGAAATCTTTAAAGAGTTAAATTATCATAACTTGAATTAAGCACATTTTACTAAATTTACAAAAAAGTGCTCTAAAGCCCCAGTTACATTAGAGCTTACGACCAGTGAAGACCAGTTCACGATCACCAGTGACCTCTGGTCGCGGACAATCTTTAAAACGTCTTACGACGGTCATCGGTGATCTTTGACAGTCGCAGGTTACCTTATTTAGGTCCCACGACCAATTTCAGTCGTAGAGAGGTTTTTGAGCTTGCACAAAAACCTCCTTGCGATCAAACAGGTCGCTAGTGATCTTATAAGGTCTTAAGGCTGTCGCACGATGGTCGTTCGGAAGTGCGACAATCTTACGACAGTCTTTACAAATTGCCACTAGTCACTGATAATCTTAAGAAGTCTTTAGTAATCGTGTGATGGTCGTACGACAAGTTGTAGGTAATCGCATGTTATGTCACGGGTAGTCGTAAGTAATCCCAGGCAATCTTGAGACCATCGTACGTTTACTTATGACCTGTCGTGCGATTGTCAATGATGACTTGTCTTACGATACTCACAAAAGTAAATTTATCTGTGCAAAAATGGTTTTGGTCGCTGACAAACTGCAGTATATAACATACCTGATTTAGCCTTTACATATCCTGCATAAAATATCCAATTTAGCCTTTTCATATATAACATACCTGATTCAGCCTTTTTCATGTGATATATAACATCATATGTAACATTCCTGATTAAGCTTTTTCATATTCTATGTAACATTACATATTTAGCCTTATAACATACCTGATTTAGCCTTTTCATACTCTATAATATAACATAACTGATTAATTCTTTTTATATTTTATATAACATACCAGATTTAGCCTTTTCATATTTTATATAACAAACCTGATTAAGCCTTTTTATATTTTATATCACATACCTGATAGCCTTTTCAAATTCTGTACAACATAACTGATTAAGCCCTTCCATACACTGTATAACAAACCTGAGTTAGCCTTTTCATATATTATAAAACCTACCTGATTTAGCCTTTTTCATATATTATATAACATACCTGATTTAGCCTTTTCATATATTATATAACATACCTGATTTAGCCTTTTTCATATTATATGTAACATACCTGATTAAGCCTTTTCATTATCTACATGTATATAACATTTCTGATTTAGCCTTTTCATATTTTATATAAAATACTCGAGGCACACGCTTTCTAATACTTGGGGACCATACATGGCTTTTCATGGAATGGCACGGAAGTGTCGCATTGAAAACCGCCATATGAACATATCTACGGATGTTTCTAAATGCAAAATTTTATCATTTTATGTTTAAATGTTGACTTCTGCTTAAGCCAGTGCTAGGGGCGTGGACGGTAGTTTGCACTTACCAGTACCGTCCATGAACAAGCTCAATCAAACCAAGCCTGCGACAATTTTAATGTTGTCGTTTTGGGCTTTCTTTAGGGATTCTTATTTTCTCTATTTTAGCCCTTTTCTATATAGCATACATGATTAAGCATTTTTATATAATATATAACAAACCTGATTTAGCCTTTTTCAATAATATATAACATACCTGATTTAGTCTTTTCAAATTCTGTACAATATAGTCATATTCATAGTCATATTCTATTTAACATACCTGATTTAACCTTTTCCTATTCTATATAACGTACCTGATTTCACCCTTTCATTTTCTATATAACATACCTGATTTTGCCTTTTTATATTCTAACTGTTTCTGTTGAGGAGAATCTTCTAACTTGAGTCTTTCTATCTCCTACAACATAATTAATAAAACAAATAATTGTGTTTTATTTTAAATAATTTAGTAATTTTCAAAAATATCTATTGTATACAGTAATATTGGTATTTTTACTGTGTGCCAATAATAAATATTATCTAAACAAGAGGGCCATGATGGCCCTGAAATCGCTCACCTATATATAGAGTCTATAGTTTATACTTATTTATGCTAACTGTACCCAAATGATACACCCCTTTTTCATTTTAGATTTCTTATTTGCAGTCAGGTCTTTAGTTGCTACTTTTGAAACATGAAGTTATGAAAACTTGCATTTGAGCTTGATCAGTAAAATACAATCTTTAAACTTGCCCATGCGACCACATGTATTAAGCAAATTTTGTCCTAAGCGACCACTGTAAATCCCCCAAGAGCATTTCCTATATATCTTTAATGTATTTCAAAGCGACTTTTGCTCAACGCTATTGGCGACGGCTAATTAGTCAGCTAATTGATATTAATCTTTTCATCAAACAACCACTTTTAAATGGTAAAACACAGATTTTACTGCAGGCATATTCTAAAAGTGCTCCTACCTGTCAAATGTTTGTGTTTTTATTGAAAGCCGCCTCGTGATTTCACAAGTGTCAACAATCATAACAAAATATATAAATGTGTGAAAAACTGTATTTCCCAAACAGTTTTTAGCGTATGCAAATGAAGTTAATTTAAGATGTGACATGTATGATCGAATAAAATCGATAGAACAATGCCCTGTCCTTACTGAGATGGTGTATACACTTCACTGTTGATATTTTGACTGCATTGAATTGACCTTGAACTTTTATAATCAGCAATTAAATTAATAGTTACAGTTACATGTACTGACTGTAGTTAGTTTCTTTGAATTGAAAATCACCACAGAAAAGATTTACACAAATTAGATTTTACGTGCCAAGGACAAGGAAAAGTAACGTAGTACAGTAGCTTGAAAATTTCAGAAAATGTAAAACATGTAGGTAATGGATCAAAGCTGTTTTGTCAATAAGTATCAGAAAGTTATTTTTTACTTGAACATCTAATGAGATGATCACAGTGTTATAACAAGAATGTCGAACGACACATATACCCCCCTTTCTAGCAATTGACTCACATAATTGGTAATTTTATTACAGAAACTTGCCAAAAATGGGTACATGGAAGTGTTCAATTATGGAAAAATCAACAGAAACCATTTTGACATTAAAGGCCCATGTGACATTGACCTTTGACCTAATGACCCCTAAATCGTTAGAGGTCATCTACTACTTATGACCAATAACTAGGTGAAATATGAAGACTTTGTGATGAATACTTTTCAAGATAATCAGCGGAAACCCTTTTGACATTTAAGGCCCCTGTGACCTTGACCTTCGACCTAGTGACCCCAAAATAAATATGTGTCATCTACTAGTTATGACCAATCACTATGTGAAATATGAAGACTTTGTGATAAATATACTTTTCAAGATAATCAGAGGAAACCATTTTGACATTTTAAGGTCCCTGTGACCTTGACCTTTGATCTAGTGACCCCAAAATCAATAGGGGTCATCTACTAGTGATGACCAATCACTATGTGAAATATGAAGACTTTCTGATACATACTTTTCAAGATAAACCTAATACTGAATGAAAAGCGCGCCATATAATAATACAACGTCACGTCATTTACGAAGTCACGTCATTAAGTTGGTACCCAGTTCTGTGCACTCTGGTATTTCACTGAAACAAGGTAAGGGGCTTAAATTAAAAACACAGTCTTCGAAATTAACGCCAGTCCGCGGCCCGAGGCCACTAAATTTAGCATCGGTCCGGTGATTATTGCAAGGTTGGTGGTCCGACAGGCCAGTAGATTTTTGGCAATGCAAAAATATTATAAGAAAAATTCATCGAAATAATGAAGCAGGGCTCTCTAAAAGATTTGCCTTTTTTGCAAATGAAACCCATCAATTCTGTCCTAAATGTTCAAAACACAGCGAGAGATGTCTAAATTGTATCTAGTAATGGAGGCCGCCATTTTTTTCTTGGATATTTTCCGTATCGCACCGTACAGTTACGGAAATTAAATCATTGTTTATTATGGTCTTTATTTACCTATGATTATGTGATTATTGAGTTAAGTAAATATTTTGTGTGAAAGTGATTCGTTTGAAGCAAATTGCATTGTTCATCTTCAGTTCTAGTTAATTTAGCCTAAACATTTTTCAGATTTTTCAAGGCTGTCAACATACAATGTCATGTATGGCTCAGAATACAAGAAGTATTTATTTATGCTTCTTTCAAAATTATCAAGGGAAACATGATAAAGTGTTTTCCTTTACCCATCAAATTATTAACTATAAATGTCCGGCTAAAAATCATCAGGTCCAGTAAGATTTGAAATTTTACTGGCCCGAATGTCCTGTGCTTTTTAAAGTTTTTCGTGAAGACTGAAAACAGTGAAATTATCAAAGTGGTAATTTCACTGTTTCAAACAGTGAAATTACCAGTTTTTATATCACTATTATATTTCTATAAACCACCAAAAAGCATGTAATAAACGTATAAAATTTTCCTTTTTTAGTCTTAAGAGACTGTTTTGTTAAGTGACCATTTCTAGAAGGTTTAACATTATAGAGGCATAATTTATAGGTCCTCAGTCAAGTCATTTTCCTATTTAAAGAAAAAGTTATAAACATGATACTAAGGCATGGCTCTATTTGACCCATGTTAATGATTTTCATAACTTAGGCAATGCTTCACACTTAATATGTTTCACTTTAGCCATGTAGCCCAAGGATGGGCCATTGATTTCAAAGGGACATGATTAATTTTACTTTTAGAGAGGACTATAAGGGGATCACTTCTGTAAAGGTTGTTCAAAATCTATCTTGTTGTTTTGGCCAATATGTTGTTAAAAGGAATTGTAGATAGTCAAGCTCAGTTACAGATTAAAGTTATCTTTAAAGACGTTTTAGGACTTTTATACATATATAGGCAAAATTATAACTGTACAATAGAATTCCTTAAAACTTGGCATGTTCTTAGGCTATGATTAAGCTAAACTGGAACCATCACTGAAGATGAGTAAAACCCCCATCAGCAACTTTGACTTTTTGAAAATTAAGTGGTCTGAAAAAAATATTTGAACTCAACCAATAGTAAAGTGTACAAAGAATTATTTCAATTAATTGAAATCACAACCGGTGTTTTCAAATAAGCTTGCTTTACATCAAGTTTGATTCCAATATCTCATTCCTAACTCTAGTTATTGTCCGGAAACCATTTTTCTATTTTTAGTAACGATGACCTTGACCTCGACCCCAGGGGGTCGAAATGCATTACCAACCGAGATCTTCATATAAGATGCTATACACCAAAGTTGGTTAAAATATTCCATTCACAACTCTAGTTTATGTCCGGAAACCATTTTTCTATTTTTAGTCATGGTGATCTTGACCCCAGGGATCCAAATGCAATACCAGCCTGGGTGACCGGTCTGCATATAAGCTTGCTATACACCAAGTTTGATTACAATACCTTATTCCAAACTCTAGTTATCGTCCATAAACCATGATGTGGACCGACCGACAGACGGACAGACCGACCGACAAGCGGACTGCTATATACCCCCTTCTTTTGTGGGGGTTATAAAAATGGGGGCCACCATCCTTGTTATTGAGTTATCTGCTACAAAATTAGACTTTTTTGCTTATATAAAGAGCACAATACCTACTTTTTGCTTAATTTATATAGTTTACTTCTGTTTAAGTCAATGTACAAAATTTCAATAAAGAGTAGCTTGACTTTTTTCCACTCTTTGTGAGATTTTTCTTAAAACAATAACCTATTTTTTTTCATTAAAATTGAAAAAATAATTATGACAGAAACAAGAGCTGTCACCAAAGTGACGAATGCCTCAAAAAGGTTTCTTAAGCATGTAGGTATTATGAAAAGAAAAGAGAATGAAAGTAACTAATTGCTGAATATTGTTCTTTGCATTATTGTACCTGTAATCTCTAATTGTGATAGCATGATGCTTCAAAATAGTGTGCCCTTGACTTTTGAAGAAGGGACCAAGTTCCTGGACACAACAAAATGTTGTTTTGAGAAAAATATCTGTGCCAAATTATTTCAAAATTCCTCAATGCATGATAAAGTTACAGTCTGGACATGATTGTTGTGTAAGTGGGGACACACAGACAGACGGACATGAGCCTTAGCCGCGACACATTGTCTTGATGTGGTAGACATTTGTGCCAAGTTATTTTAAAATCCTTTTATGCAAGACAAAGTTACAGTCCGGACATAAATGTGTATCATCAAACTCTTCTCAAAAAACAAGTACCTTCAAACTATAAGTGTGACCTTGACCTTGAAGGTAGTGGCATGGGTCTTTGTTGCCACATATCCTCCAATGCATGACAAAGTTACAGCCCGGACATGAATGTGTGTACCTATAAACTCTAATTGTGATAAAGTGTACTTCAAAATGGTAGTGTGACCTTGACCTTTGAGGTAGGGACGTGGTTCTTAGACGCAACACATCGTCTTGATGTGGTAGACATTTTGCCAAGTTATTTTAAAATCCCTCAATGTATGACAAAGTTACAGTCCGGACACGAATGAAGTGGGGACGCACAGACGGACGGACGTAGTTGTATTGGAATACATGTACTGGTATATCAACCTGAAACAAACAAAAGGAAAACATTTTTTACCTGTTTTTGCTCTGTTATAACTGCCTCAAGTTCAGTAAACTTTCTTTTCTGTTCTTTCCCAGCCTCAAGTTGTCCCTCTTTTTCTTTTGCCAACTGTCTTTCAAGTTCAATAACTTTATTTTTAAGCTCCTCATATTCATCTTTAGTTGCAGCATTTTCGGTAAATTCCCGCATTTTTGTCATTTCATCTTTGACTTGTTTCAAAATTTCTTCAGAGCATTCAGTAGTGATAACAAAGTCTTTTTGCTTTAGCTGATGGATAAAAAAAAAAGTTCGATTTTCTTTCAGAGATAAAATGTAGCTATATCATATAGCAACATTTTTATTTCAAAATTACCACAACTGTTTTTTTATTTAAACTCTAATACTTTTTCTGAGGGCTTCTAAAATCTTCTTTTAAGGCAGGATGTGTGGTATAGTCATTTGATTGCAAGAATTCTCTATTTTCTTCACATTTGTTTTTCTTAACTGTTACTAACAAGCTTAGATCCGTATTTTTGTATTTGTAGGTATTTCATTTGATTTCATCAATATAAGTTAACTTAAGGCAGTTGTTACTTAAATTTGACTAAAATGAAGTAACCACTCAAACCCCAGTCACACTAGAGCTTACGATTACTTGCGACCACCGGCGACTTGTAAAACTGACGATCATCAGCGATTGTCAGCGACCAAAACCATTTTTGCACAGATAAATTTACTTTTGTGAGTATCGTAAGACAAGTCATCATTGACAATCGCACGACAGGTCATAAGTAAACGTACGATGGTCTCAAGATTGCCTGGGATTACTTACGACTACCCGTGACATAACATGCGATTACCTACAACTTGTCGTACGACCATCACACGATTACTAAAGACTTCTTAAGATTATCAGTGACTAGTGGCAATTTGTAAAGACTGTCGTAAGATTGTCGCACTTCCGAACGACCATCGTGCGACAGCCTTAAGACCTTATAAGATCACTAGCGACCTGTTTGATCGCAAGGAGGTTTTTGTGCAAGCTCAAAAACCTCTCTACGACTGAAATTGGTCGTGGGACCTAAATAAGATAATCTGCGACTGTCAAAGATCACCGATGACCGTCGTAAGACGTTTTAAAGATTGTCCGCGACCAGAGGTCACTGGTTTTCGTGAACTGGTCTTCACTGGTCGTAATTTGATTGGGGCTTTAGAGCACTTTTTTCTATTTAACTCTGTAAATTTAGTAAAATGTGCTTAATTCAAGTTATGATAATTTAACTCTTTAAAGATTTCAAACTTATAATTTATTATGTACACTTACATCTTGGAGTTTCCTGACAGCTTGTTGTGCATCTTGTTGATGTATAAGTTCTTTACCATCTTGTAGAACAGCTATCATGTCATCAATATAACAATTAGCTTTGCTCTCCTCTAACTCCATATTGCTCGAGTGAAAAATTTCGTTTCGGTACTGCCGTACCTAATATAAAGAAAACAAATAATACAACATTCACATAATACAGTGTTCAGCAATGAGACTAAACACAATTCTTAAGTTGAGAATTAAAACTGTAATAAAGGAGTTACTTTAAAGTACTTACCATAATAATCATTATTATTATTGTGTTTAAACTGCAGATTATATAAAAGCAAAGGGAGTGGAAATGTGTTTTGATAAATCTTATTAATTACTTTACTGAAGTAACAGTATTTACCGTAATAATTCTATTTAGCGCCCATCCTCTAATAGACGCCCACCCCAAAAAACGGCCACTTTTCAGCCCAAAGTTGAAAAATTAACTGCCCCTTTTAAACGCCCATCCCCCGATTTGAGTACAATTGAGCTTACCTTTACAATTCAAGTTTCCTTATTTCCGTTTTCACGTAGCAACGAACTTCCCTTTTCTTGTCTTTTTTTCCGTAAAGTTTATATGTACACGGTATTTAAATGCCACCACCTTTTACAAAAGTTCCTTTTTATGACGAACGCGGTTCTCCAAGTATTTGGGCACTGATTTCTACAATAAGTCCATCTTTGAATAATTTTGTAAGAGGCTGACATAATCCCTCCGGTATATGTCCAACAAGAGATCCATTATTTTTTACGATAATTGCGCTATCACTATGCTCATTTTCTGGTTCCAAATTACACTGAAGTATAGTTCCGACTGGGCATGTATATTTGTAAACGTGATATCCCTTAATAACAGATTTTATAGACACAAGCATAGGTGTTGCCATAATTCAATGTGTTTTGTGTATAAGATATATATACATGTATAAAAATTACCATTCCGAGATGCCAAAACTCACGCGCCTATTTCATTACGTCAGCAAGGTCAACGTGCGTGGTTCAATGTATTGGGGCCCAACATGGGAGATTAGTTCTGATTAAAATTATTTTGAACAATAGACGATTATCTTTTTATATCAAAATCCCGCATCAATCCCTTTAAGAACATATATGCTTGTGTCAGTAAAATCCGTCAGAACTATTCTTACTTTTTTTTAACAATTATATTGGCGGGTAAAAAATGCATAATGATCGGACTCGAAATATTCCATTGACTTTTTGAATTGTATAGAACATCCCAGATTACAGAGTTAATTGGTAACCTTACATAAATATTTCGTTGGGAAAAATCATAATATTTTTGCAGTAAAAATGCGTGAGGCTCATTTTTTATTCCCGTGCTCGGATACCGGACTCTACATGCACGGTATTAAAGTGCGGAAAAGAACAGACTTAAGCCGGTACGTTACGATACCGAAATCGACTTTAGCGTTGTCTGCAATTATAAATCAACATCCGCTCTATCTTCGGATTCGATTTCTTCTTATAGTTATGAGGGGCGAGTGGATTTATAAAGCCTTGCTTAGAAAATTAGTTTGTCTAACACTCTTATGAAGATGCGTCTCCAATTAACGCCCATCCCCAACTTTCGAAAAGTCTATGATTCTAATAAAAGCCTGGGCGCTAAATAGAATTATTACGGTACTTGTCGCATTTGCTTATAAAGCACAAATAATTACTTCTGTTCATTTTACAGTAAAGCTTAAAATACAAAATATTTTTTTGTTTCCCACCCATAAAAATTACAGCTAGCCAAAAAATTGTATTGCAAACAAAAAATATTTGTGAATACAATTTATGCATAACAATTTTTGAATCATTATTCATAATGTGGCAAACTATTTCTCTGACAAAATAACTGCATTAACCTCATAGTCACCTTAGTGCAGTAATGGGTAAACTCCTATAAAGTTATATAATAGAGTTTATAACCAACAAAGAAGTTTGTAAAACATGTATGCCCCCTATCGGCAGCCAATTAGTCATGTGATCAGGTTATTATGCATGACTTCTGACCCAGAGTGAAGAAACAATTAATAAGGGTTATCTAGTATCTACTGTTTATGACTAGTCACAAGGTAACAAGGTAATAATAATCATTGTGACCCCATAGGTTGTGTGCAGCAATTTAAGTTATTACAAATCTTAACAAATAATATATGCATAAATTTTGTGAATCATGCAGGCCTCATTAATGACAGCCAAGTTGTTACATAAGACCTTCAAATGTGTATACCAAAAGCATTTTTAGTTTAATATAAAAATATCAACTTGAGTTGTTGAGTTATTGGTCAGAAACCGTCATAAAGTACAAGGTCAAAATGACATTGACCCCTTGATCCCAAAATCAATAGAGGTCACCTACTGGTCATGACCAATCACCATACCAAGTTTGAAGTTCCTAGGCCTAAGCGTTCTTTAGTTATTGATCGGAAACCGTTTTTACCTACAAAGTCAATGTGATCTTGACCTTTGACCCCAAAATCAATAGGGGTCATCTGCTGGTCATGACCAATCATCATACCAAGTTTGAAGTTTCTAGGCCTAAGTGTTCTTAAGTTATTAATTGGAAACCGTTTTCACCTACAAGGTCAATGTGACCTTGACCTTTGACCCCAAAATCAAAAGGGGTCATTTGCTGAAACATGACCAATCACCATACCAAGTTTGAAGTTCCTAGGCCTAAGCGTTCTTTAGTTATTGATCGGAAACCGTTTTTACCTACAAGGTCAATGTGACCTTTTTACCCCTTGACCCAAAAATCAATAGGGGTCATCTGCTGGTCATGACCAATCACCATACCAATTTTGAAGTTCCTAGGCCTATGCTTCTTTAGTTATTGATCGGAAACCGTTTTTACCTACAAGGTCAATGTGACCTATACCTTTGACCCCTTGACCCCAAAATCAATAGGGGTCATCTGCTGGTCATGACCAATCACCATACCAAGTTTGAAGTTCCTAGGCTTAAGCGTTCTTTAGTTTTTGATCAGAAACCGTTTTAACCTACAAGGTCAAATTGACCTTGACCTTTGACCCCTTGACCCAAAATCAATTGGGGTCATCTGCTGGTCATGACCAATCACCAACCAAGTTTGAAGTTCCTAGGCTTAAGGTTGCTTTAGTTATTGATCGTTTGAAACCGTTTTTACCTTACAAGGTCAAATGTGACCATAACCTTTGAATTGACCCTCAGGATCAACTGGAGGTCATGTTAAAACTCATGGGTCATGACCAATCACCATACCAAGTGTCGAATGAAGTTCCTGGCCTAAGGGTTCTTTGAGTTATCACTCGGAAACCATTTGGTCTACGAACTGACGGACCGACAAATGCAAAGCAATATACCCCCTCTTCTATGAAGTGGGGGCATAATAACTACACTAAGGTAACAATTATCTCTTTTTACTTTTATACGCAATTAACAGACAACATTTTAATCTTACAGTAAAGCCTAATATTCTACAAAATTTAAAATAAACATAATAATTATAGTAAAACAAATCTAGTTACCTTTGAAAAAAGATTGTTTGGTCCTGTAACATTGCATCCAATATGACTATGAAAGTACTTGTTATTTATGATAACATGAAGCAACCCAGTGCAATCAGTGTCGACTGCTGATGTCTTGTCCTTGTACCCAGGAGCATTTATAAAACATTTGCAAACCTCCCATGGTTCTGTTGACCACTGTTGGACATCACTGTTTTTTCCAAAAAGGTGCCGGTGGTATTGATGCCATGATACTGTATAATGCTGTCATAGATGGCACCACATACATTGTTTGGACAGGGTCTCTTATTATTAGGAAAACAACAGTTACATTTATCTTGTTTGAGGGGACATATCCCTTTTGAGACTCGGACCATGATCTGGCTGGAGAGTTGTTATCTGACAGGTGCCACATGGTATGTTTGGTTGAGGAGTCTTTGTTTGTTGTATTTTGTTATAATATCGTTGTGCTGCTGTCTTCCAATGTCATCACAAAATGGCGCAAGTCCCTCTTTAAGATAACCCAAGCCTAGGCAAGCCTTAGCCCACTGCCGGTATTTGTTGTTCTTTAAATGTATCTCATGTGCCATCTTGATTTCTAAAACAAACAAAAAATATTTTTAGCTACAATTTTAAGAATCCAAAGGGAAAACCAACATTAACTATGAATTGATCACAAACACTTGTATGCCCTGAACTGCTTGCCAGTTAAGGGACCATGAACTTGACGTATACAATGAAGGCATTGTTACTATCTCTAGTATAGGCCATGTTGGCCCCTGAGATTGTTTGTTTAGAAATAGTCATCATATTAGTACAGAAGTAGATATTATTTGGGCACATTGAGCGTCTAAAATTCAACAATTTCTAGTTCACGTGGTGAGTCACGTGGTAGTCACGATGGTTGTATGAAGTCACGTGGTGAAGTCACATGGGGATTGGAGTCACGGGTGTGGATTCATGTTGGTGTCACATAGTGGATGTCACATGTGGTGGAGTCCAGCGTGTTGTTC